CGTACACGTGCGTGCGTGCGTGCATGCATGTGCACGTACACGTGCGTGCGTGCGTGCGTGCGCATGTACACGTGCGTGTGCATGTACACGTGCGTGCATGAGTGTGTGCGTGCGTGTCCAAGTACACGTGCGTGCGTGCGCGCGTGTGCAGGTACATCGTACTAGTGCTGCCGCCTATCGTGGAGGTTAAGCTAACTCGAGTTAAGCGTCTACACGGGCACACGGCGTGTAGACGCTTAACTCGAGTTAAGGTTCGTCGCGTATTATGTACTACGTGCGCCCGAGTGTGCGCGTGCGTGTGTGCGTGCGTATGTACGTGTGTGCGTGTATATATGTGTACATGTGTGCGCGCGTGTGTGTGCGTGTGCGTGTGCGTGATCGCGTTTGTGGGCGTGCTCATGTATGTGTAAGTATATATATTCACTAGTAAATTCCAAATGAGATATAACGCATCTTTATAGTCATTAGTCAAATAAAGTCAGATAAGTAATTGAAGTTATTTAGTGAAGCGTCTACTGTTGCTATGGCGACAGGAAACGTGGCACCTGAAACTCAATCTAATTTCCGTATCTACATCCGACGATTGCTCTGTAGTCGCCGACTCGCGATAGTCATCTGATTTAAATTTGATTTAGATTTTAGATGGATTTATATTAGATGACATGATTGATTTTAGATTTTGACCGATTAGTCACCTAATTTCAAGTATGCATCCATAACGTTGTTAAGGCACGCGTCTGTATGAAATGTGGTGAGAAAACCAGTGCGTGCGTGCGTGCGTGCGTGCGTGCGTGCGCGAGAAAACCCGTGCGTGCGAGCGTGTGTGCATGAGAAAACCCGTGCGTGCTCATCCCTCGTGTAGCGTGCGGCGTGGCGTGTTAGCTTCCGCGATGCCATTAAATTCGGTATCATTCCGTTTGCAATCGCTCGTAAACAACGTATGATTGATGAATTGTAAATATAGCAGATCGATAGCGACTATTTCGTGGAAATTCGCATAAGGTTTTTACACGATCATGTACATCTGTGGCTGTCTCAATACCTCCAGGTAGGTCGTTATCAACGGCGATCCGAGGGGAGGGAGTTATGTAATTCGATCACGACGTCATAGCGTTAAAATTTATTGTTGTAGCTTAGTTAATTAAGTATTTGCGTTGAGAAAGCGACAGTGGTCACCAACGATGTCTGCTAATCATTCCAGCACGGAGTATGGTCACAAATGTGGCGCCACTGTAGTCCGTGATGCGTGGGGCGACGGTAATATCATTTTATAATCAAAATCTACTGAATATGTATGATGGAAAGTGTATAACATCTGTACCTGTGCGTGTGTATGTCGTACGTGCACAATATGATTGTTTGATTAAGTTTTCTGTGTGGCTATTGTTTGTAATGCCGTTTACTTTGTAATTCACATAATAAACAAGAAATCAAGATTTCTTATTTTTCCAGCGTTTTCTGATAAAAAACAAACGTACAATTTGCATTAACAACTTACATGCATGTTATCGGGAGTACATGATACAAAGTGCTTTTTCGATACCTTTTGATGTTGTGCATTTCTGATGATACAATTATTTATAAAAATAAATCTCACGTCTGTATTTGATTTTCTCATCATTCTTTTTCCTTTCCTCCTCCTCTCCCAATTTACCATCCTCTTGTTGTTGTTGATTCTCTTCCGTAGCAATTATGTGTGCATGCGCACGTGCGTGTCTCTGTGTTTATATATACATTTACATATAGACATGAAAATTATAAATAATTATACATACTATGCGATTTATTAGATTAGTGTTCAAACACATGATTATTCACAAATGCTATTAAATTTCAGCGATTGTATAACAGTCTCACGTTGGATAGAGTAATACTCGTCAAAAACACAAAACATGTCACCATCAGGTTGTATAACGTAAGAGCTTTCACGACTTTCACAAGCAATTCCTAGTTTAGCTTCCAATCTTGAAAGAAGCTGTAATAGNCATATACAAGTGGCAATTTCTACCATTAAGCTGTGAGTCTCGGCTTGCTTCATGGGTTTTTTTTCATCTATGGATATAGCCCTTTCAAAAAAACATAGTGAGGATTTGCCACCCCAGGTGGTACCAATATCTGGTCTGGCTCATGGACTAAAAAGGAAACATGGCATCTGAAACTCAATCTAATTTCCGTGTCTACATCCGACGATTGCTCTGTAGTCGCCGACTCGCGATAGTCATCTGATTTAGATTTGATTTAGGTTTTAGATTGATTTATATTAGATGATATGATAAAAATTAGATGACATGATTGATTTTAGATTTTGATCGATTAGTCACCTGATTTCAAGTATGAATCCGTAACGTTGTTAAGGCACGCGTCTGTATGAAATGTGGTGAGAAAACCAGTGCGTGCGTGCGTGCGTGCGTGCGTGAGAAAACCCGTGCGTGCGAGCGTGTGTGCATGAAAAAACCCGTGCGTGCTCATTCCTCGTGTAGTGTGCGCCGTGGAGTGTTAGCTTCCGCGACGCCATTAAATTCGGTATCATTCCGTTTGTAATCGCTCATAAACAACGTATGATTGATGAATTGTAAATATAGCAGATCGATAGCGACTATTTCGTGGAAATTCGCATAAGGTTTTTACACGATCATGTACATCTGTGGCTGTCTCAATACCTCCAGGTAGGTCGTCGTCATCGGCGATCCGAGGGGAGGGAGTTATGTAATTCGATCACGACGTCATAGCGTTAAAATTTATCGTTGTAGGTTAGTTAATTAATTATTTGCGTTGAGAAAGCGACAGTGGTCACCAACGATGTCTGCTAATCATTCCAGCACGGAGTATGGTCATCAATGTGGCGCCACTGTAGTCGGTGATGCGTGTGGCGACGGTATTCTAATTTTATAATCAAAATCTACTGAATATGTATGATGAAAAGTGTATAACATCTGTACCTGTGCGTGTGTATGTCGTACGTGCACAATATGATTGTTTGATTAAGTTTTCTGTGTGGCTATTGTTTGTAATGCAGTTTACTTTGTATTTCACATAATAAACAAAAAATCAAGATTTCTTATTTTTCCAGCGTTTTCTGATAAAAAACAAACGTACAATTTGCATTAACAACTTACATGCATGTTATCGGGAGTACATGATACAAAGTGCTTTTTCGATACCTTTTGATGTTGTGCATTTCTGTAGATACAATTATTTATAAAAATAAATCTCACGTCTGTATTTGATTTTCTCATCATTCTTTTTCCTTTCCTCCTCCTCTCCCAATTTACCATCCTCTTGTTGTTGTTGGTTCTTTTCCGTAGCAATTATGTGTGCATGCGTACGTGCGTGTCTCTGAGTTTATATATAAATTTACATATAGACATAAAAATTATAAATAATTATACGTACTATGCGATTTATTAGATTAGTGTTCAAACACCTGATTATTCACAAATGCTATTAAATTTCAGCGATTGTATAACAGTCTCACGTTGGATAGAGTAATACTCGTCAAAAACACAAAACATGTCACCATCAGGTTGTATAACGTAAGAGCTTTCACGG